ATCTGAAGCCGAAAACCACATAAGCTTGTATCTTATGTTGAGGCTCTTACTTTTTATGGCTTAGTTTTAACCAATCCTATAAATCATACATGACTTCTGTGAATTCAGAATGTTCAGAATGATAGATAACAATGGAAACACTCCCAAGGCAAGACATATTTGTTTTTAAAAAAGTTTTTAACATCATACATCTCTAAAAGGAAAAGTTTGTTAATAATTACAGGTGTCCGACCTAAAGGCTTGATTGAAGGAGGCCTGATTTTCAAGGACTGAATCCTTGAAAAGCTGTGGTATCCAAAATTAGTTGTCACATTGCATGACCCTGGCAGGTGCCAAATTTTGTTAGAAGCTGTCTGGGAATCATTTATCACTTCACTCTTTAAGAACACATTAGTGAGCAAATGTTGTAGCACTGCTACAAAGCACAGACAGAAAAGTGAGTATTAAAAAAATATGGCAAGTAGTATGATAAGCAATGAAAAAGTCAGAATACAGACTGTCTACAAGTATGCAGTGCTGTGACTCAACTAAAAATGACATAATCACTGATCCTCTCTCTTGAGTAGTAAACTTCTTTCAAGAGTAAGTCTGTGAGGCAAAAAACGCTTGTTTCCTACAGATTTGTGACTTCTTGACTGTGTTCCCAAAAAGATGTGTCTTCTCCATACGTTGATGCTGCATAAGACCTCTTCCCCTACGGCTTATCTGATGTTTAACAGTTGAGTGCAAACTGACTCTCCTTAAGAGAGGATGATGGAGACTTTCTACCTTCCTCATCCATTGGCTGCTGTTTTCACAAAACTAGGGAAATATCAATCCTCCTGATATTTTCACTTCTCTATCAAAAACTTGGCTGAAAGTGAAGCAAAGTTATTTATGGAAGAGAGAAAAGGTGAAACTACACACAAGACACAGAGCACAATCTCATGAATCTCTACTTGAAGAGCACATCACGTGAGGTATTTTGGGAAGACACTGTTTCAAAATACCTACCACTATCAGGACTTCTGCAGGTTATCCACTGGGGAAAATATAAATCTTTCCTAATACAATTTAGGGGGGGGGAGAGAGACACACACAGAGAGAGAGAGAGAGAGAGAAAGAACTTGGCTCCCTATTAGAGTGCCTAAAAAATGAGACTTTCAAAACTTGAAAGTTCAATTGCAATTTGCTTATGAAAGAAACAGAACTGCCTTAAAGCAGTCTGGAAAAGGCAATATATTCAAATAGAGAAATTAGTCTCCTTTGTCTTAATCTGTATCAGATCTTAATCTGTATCAGAAGATTACATTATTTCACTGATCCACTCTTCATGAAAATCAGTGAAGTCCATAAGAAACTAATGCAGAGACTAACCTCTTCTATGAAGACAGGCTGAGAGCTGGGGTTGCTCAGCCTGGAGAAGAGACGGGTCTGTGGAGACCCTTTGCCAGTCTTCCAGTACCTAGAGGGGGCCTATGAGAGAGCTGGATAGGGACTTTTTACACGAGCACATAGTGATAGGACAAGGGGTCACAGCTTTAAGATGAAGGAGGGTAGGTTTAGATTAGATATTAGGAAGAAATTCTTTACTATGAGGGTGGTGAGGTACTGGAACTGTGGATGCCACATCTTGAAAGTGTTCAAGGCCAGGTAGAATGGAGCTCTGAGCAACTTGGTCTAGTGGGAGGTGTCCCTGCCCATGACAGGGGGTTTGGAACTAGATGATCTTTAGGGTCCTTTCCAACCCAAACTGTCCTATGATTCTATGATCTTTATAGTACTTCTGATGGTATTCCACAGCAGCAATCCTCTAACCCTGTGTGCATTCAGAAGCCAAAATACTTGTTGTACTTCATAAAACTTTAATAATATCAATAAAAGCTTGCAGTGACCAATTTACTCAAGATCTGTCAGAGTTGGAATGGCTTTGAGAAATCTGAAACTTCAGCTCTGATTTTCAGCTGCTATCATCCTTGATTTCTCCCTCACTCTGCCCCAAGCGCCCAACTATTGCAGGTGGAGATTTGCCAGTGGTTCCTAATGAGGGCAGGAACAAGTGGGGTATAAGCTGTGGGGTACAAATACCTTCAATAGCCTTGCACACGTCATGGCATTTTGCAGCGTCATTGACACTGATGGGAATACCAGGTACTTCCTAGGTATCTTCTAAAACTCAGGTCTTCAGGTTAGATCTTCCAGTCTGACACCACAGCAAGCAGGATAATACATATAGACTCAAAACTCATCACCAAGCAAGCATGACATCCTAGCCTGGCAATAATTTAAGCACATGATTTTATTGTAATATCAAGTGGCCTTGATTTCATTGACTTGCTCTGGGCATGTTTTTACATAGGGTTGCTATTGTTGGCTTGGGGTTTTTATTGTGGTTCTTTTGGTTTGGTTTTAACTACATATTCATACTAATATTGAGATATCTACTTTTATAGAGGTGCTTTGTAACAACGGGATGTGATATATTTACTATGCATATATTTTGATTAAGCATATTTCTTTCTTTCCTCCCTATATTGTGCAGGACTATCCCAATTTAGAAAGTATGGTTTTCAGTTGTCTCTCATATAGACTTTATACTGAAATTGAAGATGCTTTGGCTTTGAAATAGGGAAAAATTAGTAGCTGAAAACCTCCCTCTCCACTCATTCTGTAACATTCTCTGTGCAATATGTAGTGTTTTCCTCAAACTGATGATCTATGGCTACAGCTCAGTCTTATTCACCACTGTAGATGAAATACCAGTGTATTCACACAGGGAGAGCGGTATTCAGTTTATGTATGAAAACATGCATTTCTTCTTCATTTGCCAGGTTGTACTCGTTTTGCTACAACCAGTAATTTAGAAATATTGTCCTTTGAGCTCTGCATGCCTTGATTTTAGCAGAGTCAGATGCCATTCTTGCCTCAATTTGCACCTCACAATTACACTGATGTAATACAGAACATAAAATTCTTTGATCAAATTAACTACTTCAGGTACATCTATTGAACTTGCCAATTAAAGAACTGCCTTCTCAACACTTAAGCAGTCCTTATGTGCAACAGCAGTCCTATCCTCTCAAATGTAAATCACTGCCCAAGGAGAAATCCTGCAACTGAAGGTTGCTGGCACAGAAACAGCAGGATCTCTGCCTAATTCAGCAGGTAGCAACTTGTGTTCCGGATCCTGTTCAGCAGCAAGCAGAGGGCTCTATGCTGAAGGCTACAATTATTACACACAGAAAAATAAGCAGAAAAGTCCTTAAATATCTGTATTTAGGTACCCTCGCTTATTACTTTTTCCTGCGTGGGTCCTCATGCCCTGCTCCCTGGAACTACCTGTCCTTGCTGAAGTCAGAGGCAAACCTCCCATCAGCTTCAGGTGGGGCAAGACAGGGCACATAAGAGCCAGGCAGTGGGATGCACATTTTGCTCTTCACGTGTTAACTGGACCAGACCAAACTGGTAGTTTGTGTCTTTTTTAAGTGCACTGCATTTTAAAGAATGACTGTGAAGCCTGGACAACTTGTTGCTTTGTTGTACTTCATTGAGTTAAACTCCTCATACAGCACTGCAAGAAAATAAAATAGTTGTGACAGAGAAAGTAGCAGAGCACTGGGGCTTCTCAGCATTCTGCAACAAGGAAATCTGGCAGAGAGATCCCAGTAATTGTCAAAACCACACCCCACCCCCCTGCTCACCTCATGCAATCTCTGTTTTGACCTGTACCACTGCACAGATGTCGTCCCCTCCTAGCTATAAAACCTGCTCCCTCCTTTTGTACCACTGCACAAATGTTGTCTCCTCCCAGCTATAAAATCTGTTCTCTCCCTTTGTCCTGTAAATTCAACCCTATTCCTTTTCCTCCCAACAGTGCCACGTCCCTACACATGCTCAGAAATGACCCTACCACCATCCTGGACATCTACCACCATCATACCCCCCCATTCCTTTTACATTTGCCTCACCTTGGCATAGCAGAAGGTGATGAGAAGCAGTGGTAGCAGATATCCGAAGACGAATGTGCAAACCACGTAGACCTTCTTGTGGCGTGGGTTGGGCCAGTGCTCCCAGCAAAAGGTCTGGTTGCTGGTCTCACGGTGGAAGATGCGCTGGTGGTGAGCCACAGGTGAGGCCATGGCGAAGGAGAGTGCCCAGATGAGCCCCACACCCACCAGTGCGTTGCGGGGAATGCGCAGGGCCGAGGAGCGCCGGGAGTGCACAATGGCCACGTAGCGGTCCACGGACATGGCTGAGAGTGTGAAGATGCTCACCAGCATGGAGATGGTGAAGAAGTAGTGGATGAACTTGCAGATGAAGGCACCCAGTACCCAGGTGGGGAGCACGTAGACTGTAGACTGGAAAGGAATGCAGAAGAGTAGGTAGGCCAGGTCAGCGATGCTCAGGTTGAGGATGAAGATGTTGGTGGTGCTTCGGCGCTTGCCTGGCTTGCTCCTTGCCAGCACCGTGATCACCAGGGTGTTGCCCAGCACCCCCAGGGTGAAGATCAAGCCGAAGACGATTAAGGTGATGAAGTTCTCGATGCCGATGCCGAAGAGGGGCTTCCCCTCCTCCTCTGGCAGCCCAGAGAGGTTGAACTCCCCGCGGGGCAGCTCTGCCACAGCTCGGGACCTGTTGAGGGGCCCCGCCGCGGGCTCCCGCGGCTCCATCCTTCCCCTTGCGCGCCGGGCAAAGTTCTCGCGGGCGGAACGCGGAGCCACCGCTCCCCGGCACCGCGGACGGCGGCGAGCCAAGGGCGGCTGCCCCACCAGCGCCGGGAGGCGGCGGGGAGCGGCGGGTGCCGCCGCTTAGGGCGCCCCGGAGCTCACAGGGGCGCGGAGCCTGCTCGGCAGCTCCGCCGCCCCCCGCAGGCAGAGCCCACCCGACTTGTCCGCGGAGACCCCCTTCCCCACTGCCACCGCACCCGCCCCGCGCAGCGCCGGAGTGTCCACGGCTCCCGCTCTGGTAGTGACCGCCTGCTGCCCCGGGAGACTGAGCTCCCCAGGAACGTCTTCTCGGAGAAAGAAAGGGTGGGGTTTTTTTCCTCCCTCCTTATTTTCCCCCACCCTTTTCTTCCCTTCTTTCAGCTTGTGATTGCCCACGCAGGGCGGCGGTGGGAGCGCGGGGCGGTCCGCGGGCAGGAGCGGAATCCCAGTCCTCTCCGCAGAAAACTTCTCTCTGCTTGGTGCCCCCGCTCCTAGGGAGACTCGGGAGCCGCGCCTGCCAGAAAGGCTGGGCGGCGTTCGGCAGTTCCGGCCGGGCTTAAATGAACTCTCTTGGAAAGACAGAAAAAATGAAGTGCCTGAGTGAACCCACCTCAACAGGTAGCCAGCCGGCAGCAAGAGTTAGTCCTCCAGGCTAAACGCTGCCTGTGCTCATTGTTTTCATCTCCTTCACAGGTTTCCATTAATCGGTCCGTACTATGAAGTATCTCAAAGGACAAAAGGTGGCAGACGTTGTCACTCCTAAAAAAAAAAAAAAAAAAAAAAAAGGGAAATCTAATCTAGCCTCTTTTCACTGTCAAATCACAACTCCCGTTGTGAGCTCTGCCGCATCCCCGCTGAGGGCCAGCAGGCTCCTTGGAGCCGGGCAGACGCAGGCAGTCCTAAACGGTGCCGAAATGGGAGCTCCTGAAAATCCAATCTTTTCAGAATGGAGTGAAATATAAAACTTCTTCCAGAATATGGATACGAGTTCATGTGAATATTCTCATAGGCATATCTGCGTTATGAATGAAACGGATTTGCCTGAGGGTTCTTAGCCGCTTGTTTTAGAATTACCAGTCAGGGAGCTACAGCTGGCAGCAGCAGTGACCAACAGAATTGTCCAGATGCGCTGTTGGAGGCAGTGAGCTCTTGTTTGCGTATTTTTCAGTCTGCAATTTGACAGGTTTTTTTTTCTATCTTTCTTTTTGCTACTTATATTGAAGCATTTCAGCAGCTGCACATCAGCTGACTGCAAAGCGATTGACTTCTGCAGATGTAGATTTTAATTAAACTTACGTACAGTCTGCTCCATTATGTCCAAAGGAACACCTCATGGGAGAACACAATTCAGTTTATATAGATCTTAGAAGTTTACGTGGATTGAGCTGTTTTATGCATCTGTTGTAACTCAGTTAAGAAGTTGCAAACATATCAAGCAAAAATGAACCATCAAAGATTCCTCAAACACTTGGGGGTTGTTTATTTTTTCTAATGTGCATTCTTTATAATTTTTTGACATACTTGATTACCATGCAAATCTACCAGTCTCTACTTCTGCAAGTGATTTGAGAAAGAACATTGTTAAACATTTCTAGGATGTCACACACTTTTTTGGAAGTGCTCTGAGTATATTGTGAAAATTAACAGAAGTCACTATAGATATTCCTAGTGTTGCTGATGACTGTCTTTGACTATGAATTCCTTCATGTGGTGAATGAGATACAGGAAACATCTTGAATAACTCTGATGTTTTGCTTTTGAATCATGTCTTGTTGCCAGACATCGCTCTTTTTCTGGGATGCCAGGAGTGCAAACTTGGCTTTAATGAAATTAATACTAACAATTACATTGATAACAACTTTCCATCTGAAATGCTGTGTTAATCCTCATCACTCACACTTCTGTTTTCTTGAGAAATAGTATCTTTTGAACAGTATAGCCTGAAAGGTGACCAAAGAATGTCAGACTTTACAGACAAGTAAGAAGGAAAATTGGTTACAGAAACAAAATTAGTTTTAGGAAAAAGCAACCTAAAATCACATTAGATTTGGATGGGAATGTTCACTCTATTAGTTTCCTTTAGATATTTAATTGACAGTTTCATAGTTCAAGCTTTGCTTTTCTGCTACATATCTATTGTAAAGTATATAGTTCCTATAAGACTGCCCTGAGCATTACGTGGAAAAAAACCTGAGAATACAACTATATTGTGTTTATTCTGTCAGACCTTCAGGCTTCAGCTTTTACATGAGTGAAGTTCCCACATTTACAGCACTCATGATTGCTGTTAAGATTGTCATAACCAAACAGGTGTTGACATTTTAATCCACTGCTCTTCTTATCTAGACTGAGTAAAATTTTCATGCAATAGAAAGTTCAGATGAAAAAGTTGTAATGGATTCAGTACAAATAATTATCTAGTTAAACACATAAAGTAGTTGAAAAAGTAGGTAAAAAAACCAGCAAAAAATTTGCATCACACTTTAGAAGAATAGATTACATATCTTTGTAAAAGGGATCTCTTAAGTATTTGCCTCATGCATTTCCTTGAATCTAGTTTTATTGAGTCTTGTCCTGAACACCTTTCGACATGAAGAGATCTACTAAAACTAGAATAGAATATGAACTTCAGAAAGAATAAGAAATTAAATGCAGTGTTCTTCTGTCTGTAATATAATCCACAGTCATCTTTATCTGATGATTGCTCACCTCCAAAAAGTTATTTGGCTCCAAAATTTTCCATAGCAATTAGTGGAGAATATAATAGGATATATCTATAAAGGAGATGGGAATCTGTGTACCCTGTTGAATGTAGGCCTCCATATTTACTCCTCAGTGGATTAAACAGGAAGATATTACTGAAAAAGCATACCAGAACATCCTTCCTTTTGCTCACTCCAGTGGTTAGGTATCTTATTTTTATATGATTCCAATAATAAAAGTATTTCACTTACACTGGTATATTTTTGTTTCAGGAATGAGAAATCACATAAAAATCTGACACATAAAAGGACATACAACTTCCCTAAGAAGTGTTTCAGTAACATACTGTATAAATTCTTTTTTTCTTGGTTTTTTTTTCCTGTGGTGAAGTTGAAGCTAGAGTTGAGGTTCAAGGCTCTAAACTACACCCCAGGGAAACAATTTAAAGTGTACTAATTTTAAAGCATATGAGTAGCCCTAAATTTTAGAAATCTTTTGACAACTTAGCTCTTAGCTGATTTACCAGTTTTCCTTGCTGCAAAAAATATTCTCCAGATTTGGTTGTGTTTTGTTTATAAAACACAAGACTGAAAACAGACTTATTTTGAAGACTGACTCTTCTTATTTATTTGTGAAACAAGATCAGGCACAATAGTCACATCAATTTTACTCCATTATTTATGACAAGTTCCTGGAGTAGGAATTTGCATTATTAAGGCAGATGTGAACTTTAAATATAATTCAAAAGCGAAATAAAAAAAGTTCATGATTCATAACCAACCTTTGAGTCACCTTCCATAAAGTTATTAATGTGTAAAAGTCAAATATCTATAAGCATTAACTCACCTTCTATCTATATTCTTGGGAATAATGTAGCCCTCAGGTCACAGTTGTCTCTACATCAGATTTCCACTGTGGAGAGGTGTCACCAATAAACTGAAGTTTATTGCTTCTTGCTGACATTTAGAAAGAAGTAAACATCTGCCCATATACATTTGAGAGCTATTGTCATTCCATCCCAGTTTGCAATGTTTTTTTTTCTCCTAGTTCTCTACCCCAGTTCTTGAAAATCAGTTCTAAAAAAGATTTTAAAGTGCAGGCAATCAAAAGAAGAAAAGTTAATTTGAAGCTACAGTTCCCAAAATCCCATTCATACTTTGTATTACTATTTAATGCTTTAAAGTAATATATTTAGTCTTAAAAATTGTATACAAAAACATGTACCCATACTTTATTCAATGCCCAGCAATTTTCTCTGTGAAAATGCCAAAAGCTAATCACCATGGCCTAGCAACATGAAATTGCTTTATAGTTGTTGAAAAGGGTTGCTTGTTTCATTTTCCTTGATTTGAGACAATTACCCCATGGAATGTTTTTTAATGTTGGCTGCAGAAGCAACTTACCTGTGCATAAAAACACAGCTGTGTTTTGTCTAAAACTGAGAGCATCAATATCTGTTATTCCTTGACAAAACAGAATCAAGAGTATTTTGATGAACCCTTGTAATACAATATAGCACAACAGAACAGGTCTTATAAAACTCAGGTATCCAGATCGTGGGCACAGTATCTGCAGAAGTCGTTTAAATGAACACTTATTCTACCTTCAAACAGCTTCATAAATTTTACATCTGACTGGTTTGAGGTAGTAGGGCAAGAATAGAAGGCTTAAGTTCTGTAAAACAAACTTCAAGTTTCCAGGTAGGAAAAATGGAAACGCAGGCTACGGAAGGTACCTCACCCATGTGGGAAACATCGGAGTTACCAAGGCTGAAAGAGATCACAGTGGAAAAAAGTAACTCGGAAAGCATGACTGCTGCTGAAGCAGGTGTGTGCTGCTGGTAAAGAACCCGGGAGTTTGCAGGTTGCTTTGTCTAAGGTCAGCTCCAGGCACAGGCCAAGAAAGCAATTTGCCAAAGGCAGTGAATAGGCTGATGTAAGTAAAAAGGCCGGGGCCTCACTGCCCAGCCCTGGAGAACTTGATCACCGAGGCATTCTTTGGGCAAAGAGAGGAAACTGGTGGGCAGTAGACAGAGGATGGGAACCCTTCACAGCTGTTACTGCTGCCTCTACCTTCTCCTCCATCCTGACGGCAGCAGTAGCGTCAACGGTGGCTTCTTCGGGCTCTCCATAGATACTCAGAAAGGGCTTACGTGTCAGCAGCATCTTGAACTTGGCTTCACTCCAGTATTCCTTGGTCAAGGGAAGCAAAATCTGATTTTTACACATTGCCAAGGAGCCTGCAGATGGCTCCAAATACAGCTATGCAAGAAAAGAAAAGTGAGAGGGTTGCCATCTTCCTGCAGGTATCGTGCCCAAAAAGATGTATAAGTTGATTTTGATTTTT